ATGGAAAAAGGTTGAGGACCTTAAGTGCAATTAAATATGATGCAAAAAGCAAAAAGGAAAAAAGAAAAAAGAAAAAAGAAAAAGAAAAAAGCATGGCCTCAATATAATTACTTTAACAAATAAACAAGTCATGTAAATATATTGTTCGATAATTATGTTTGAGTCCAACATACCAAACATTTCTTGGAGCTCTATATGCTTGCCATAAATGAACTTAATTCTATTCATATATCAATGTGGTGGATTCACTTTCTCATGATAAAGGAATCATATATCCATCGATAATAACCATAACGATGATATCGGTATAGATATTGGACAACTCCAATTCAACTTTCTGCCTATACGCTTCTATTAATGCCCCTTCGTGATTTCCTTTTGCTCGACCAACGATAGAATCCTCCATGAAACCCTTCGAGCTCCAATTACATTCTACCCTGCAAGTGACGTCCATGCCTTTCGGTTCGATATCAAGTCTTTCCACTGTTTTCATAGCATCTACCATTTCTACAAATGAACACGAACAAAAATTAAACCCAGAAAAAAATTCATTGATAATTAAAATGAACAAAATTGCTTTTTTTAGAAAGAGATGACAAAACCTTAGTATAATACCACTTGCATTGCAAGCATGGCAATTTAGACTATGTTCTCATGCTCAATGATATTAAGCTAAAAAAGAATATCAAAATTTAAGTCAAAATCAATAATTAATTTTAGTCATTTCATCGAACCACCACTTCATTTTTTATTTTATTTTTTAAATACCATATTACCAAAAAATACAAGGCTAGCCACAAACTGGATTCAATGATTATGAACAACCGTAAATTACCAAAGAATATTAGCCCCATTTCTGTGATTTTCTTTCAGGTAACATACTCAATTTCGCAACCTACGAATCTCATCTTCATTACATGCTAAATAATTATAAGATTCCATATCTCAATTTTAATTAATATCACGGCATTTGTGAGCACAGTTGCGTAAATTCAAATTGGAAATTATTCAATTCAAAATTTCAATTATTTTATTTTTTTAAATAAAAAACATGTTTTGTCTTTAAACCTGACGAGTCATGAAAGCATATTCTCCGTTTCCACCTAACCCTAGTACAGCACCCGTTGCCCTCATCCCAAGTACTCGATTATGCAGGGAATCTCCATCCTGTTCGAGGTAGGACTCGCGGATATCGAGTTTAACGATTTGTTTGCCATCCCTAGGAAAGTGCACACGTTTCACTTATGGAATATTGGACATTTTCTATGCAAAAGGACTAGGTCTGCATTTTCATTCAAAGGTTTGGTCTAGTGATGCCAAGATTTAAAGGTTTAGGACCTATTTGCACATTTTGTAAATGTTAGGGACCGAAGCCAATATTTTCGCTATAACAGGACAATATTAAAGTCATTCCCTCCACCCCAATACACACAGGTAGAGTCGATGTTAGTTTCATTCTCTTATTTCAAAGGAGTTCTTTTGGATCTCGAACATACATAAAATTTTTAATCTTAGTTCTAAGAGGACGGAAAAATTCATTCAAGTCAATTTGATTCGCTCAGGAACAATCACAACGGAAACTTCTGTACTTGAACTTGATTTTGAATCCCTAATCTAATAATACTAATAATAATAAAGCTTTAATCCAAATATAGTACTAGTAGTTAAATGAGAAATGATACTTGTATCGGAGAAATGCACAGAGAGTTTGACAGGTGTTGAGATGACAACATCAAATTGGATCTTTTAACTTTTCTGTCCAAAGTCCAATGAAATATTATCATGTGACTTTCTGTCAAACTATCTATAAATTTTCCCTATACATGTAAAATTGTTCTAGTTAGATTTAATCTAATGTAAAAATATTAGACTTGGAGCCATGTCTGAAAAGTGTGTGCAATATTAGTCCAATGAAAGAAATATTTCTCAAGAGCACTTCCTTCGGAAACAAGCACTGCTCCATGAAAGTTCTCTAAATTTGTGGTGCAGGAAATGAATTTTCTCATTGGTTTGATTTATCAAATGATAACGCATTTGATGAAACAATCGATTCGTTAATGTCATAGTCCGATAAATCTGTATTCACCAGGCTTATTCATTACATATTAATGAGTACATTATTCAGCCATATTTTCTTTTTCTTATTTAAAAGCACGAGTGCCAAATAAGATTTTTACGTCATCTTCGAGGAATTTTTGGACAAAATTTGTCTTGAGGATAAAATATGCAGACGACTTGGCATTTCTTATATTGGCAGATAACCAAAAAAAAAAAAAAAAAAAAAAAAAAAAAAAGAAAAATAAAAATAAGGCAACTATACAGGTGCTGCCAGGCCGGTCCTGTGATTTTCGAGGCCTGAGGCAAACTTTGTAAATTAGGCCCCCCAAAGTCAACGTAAATACCAAATTCAACAGTGTATTATGCAATCAATGGTTAACTTAAAACTAAATAATAAAACAACAAACAAAATATATTATAAATTTAAAATTTATATTATAAAATAACAAAACAAAAAATGTTTCAAACGTTCGGTTAAACAATCTCAATCATAAAAGATGATTACAAAATATCTCACACTTTAGGCATACACATATATTTTGTCTTTCACTTCTTTCATCTACTCATACTCAAAATGGAGAGGCTATACACATGCATATATATGGTGAGCTATTCTTGGTGTCGGTGGAAGATTTCTCTACACAATTCTAGCAAATCGGTGCCGGTGGATGCAAATAATTCTTACCAATTTGGATTATTCTAGACTTCTTCTAGATTATGAAGCAATTTTGGAGACAAAATCTATTGCTGTAGAATCCATAATTGAAGGTAACCAAAAATGGCTAAAGCACCTCAAACAACCTAATCCTGACTCCACCCCTACTTTAAAGATTATGTCATGTAAGAGGCCAGCTATGATTCATCCCATATACACAAATTCCCTTGGTCAACTACAAAAATTGAAACTTGGGGGACCAAAGTATTTGTCCTGTTGTCCATGTAAGAGGTAGAGGACCATATTTTTTTCTTCTTCTAACTTACCACGCAAAAGCAAAAAGATCAAGTAAGAAATTGTATAATCCAAACATTATAATCATAGTCTGCATAGATTCATAGTGAAGGAACAAGTAAGAATCTCAAAATCAAACCCAACAAAAAAATTAGAAAACCCATTGAATCTAATGCCAATTCTCATGTAAAATTGATGAAAAAGACTGAAAAGGGTACTTATGGAATCCATCTTTGGTGGCTTTCTCAAAGGAGATTTCATCAGTGGGTGCAGCCATCCAACCGGAGTCTCTGGCCATTCACAATTCACAGAACAAAACAAAATCAACACAACAAAACAAAACAAAATTCACAAAACAAAATCAATTCATAGAACAAAATTCATTTATTTATTCTGGCCATTCACGATTCACAGAACAAAATCAATACAGCAGAAATCACAGAACATTCAACACTCAGTCAACACAGAACAAGAACAACAACAAAAAGAGAGAGAGAGAGAGAGAGAGAGAGAGAGAGAGAGAGAGAAAGGCACTCACTTCACAATCAGTTTCTGAGACTAGAGATTTGGAAGCTAGTAGCGACGGCGGCGACTTCTCGCCCTCACCCGTTGCCCGTCGACAGTAGGAGCTAGTAGCAAACTTTGCTTTGCAATTCATTGTTTGGCATTCGCACAAATCGCTTGGAAGGGTTTTAGGTTTTGAATTCAATGAGAAATGGCTTTGGTGTCTTTGACCATTTGCTGGGTATTGGTTTGGGCGTATGTAATCAATAATCACTAATCAATGTGATATATACAATTTGGGCTAATATTTAAAAAAAAAAAAAAATGAGGCCCTCAGGCCCATATCAATTGTTACTAACCAAAATAAGGCCTAATAGAAACAAGAAAATAAAACCCAGAAACCCACATTCTTACGGCATTTCACCTTCCTCGGCTTCTTTTCCTCTTTCCGATTGCAACTGCAACACCCAGCGAGCAGCGGCAATGGCGAATCCGGTGGATCCAGGTCAGGTGCTGGCAAGGGAGAGGAAAATGATTTCTCCTTCAAGTTATTTTAATTAATTGCAAAAAAAAAAAAATTAAAAAGAAAAAATGGAAAATGGCGAAGTAAGGCCCCCTTCCAGTTTTGGCCTGAATCTTCCTTGCTTTAGGACCGGCTCTGGGTGCTACCCTGTAACTATCCCGAACAAAAGTACAATGAAAAGAAGTTAGAGTGTCTTTGATTACATTTATTTTTTAAGGAAAATACCAATTTTCCACCAAATTCGTACTTTGAGTGTTTGATTATTGTTTTTTTCCATTGAAAATATTTTCCTACTTTTGAAAATATGTCTAATTTTCCTTATTTTTAAAGAAGGTATTTTCTTTGGGGGAGGTTATTTTTGTTTTTCTTAAAATAAGGAAAACATTTTTTTTTAGGTGATATTTTTCATACCAATCAAACACATTCTTAGGGATGTAATGAGATAATTAAATGAATGGTCTATGAACTTTATTATATAGGTTACTAATTGCTCATTGATCTTTAAAAAATTACTCATTGTTCACTCAACTTTGCTTTAAGTTATTACTTACTCATCAAAATTTAAAAAGTTACTCATTACTCACTTATATTTGAATAAAGTTACTTATTATTCAGTAAACTTTGCAATATGTAACACTCATAAAAATAATATGGCCCATATGGGTGATTGATGGGTAATTTTATTCAAATTTGGGCGATTCATAAGCAACTTTTTAAATTTTAGTGAACAAGCAGTAACTTATACCAAAGTTCAGTGAATAAAGAGTAACGTTTTAAATTTAGCAAGTAGTGAGTTATAGCAAAATTCTTGATTAAATTAACTTGGGATCTAATTATGTCTTTAATTCAATTAAAAAATAATTTAAGCATAAGAAAAAGTAATATCAATAGATAAAGAAACACGGCAAGATTTCACACCGTTTTTTCTTTCAGAAACCAACAAAAAAGAATTAGAACCTCTTGTTTTCACGCCAAAATATTCAAGAAAAATGCCAGAATAATGCCACTATGACTAACCCATTTTGCGTCCACAGAGGTTACTAATATCTGTCTCTCAAGTTTTAACGTCTAGCATGTAACGCATCTGCATACGGTTGACATTTTTCTTACGCAGTCTTCTGGTACTTTACAGTGGGTATATCTGTTACTTCTCTTCGAGGCAAACACTTTTTTGAGGTTTCTTTTAAATTCTTTATAATTTCTTTTGCTAATTTTTTGCCTAGGTCTCTCCCAAGAATTAATATGTTCTGGGATGATTTTGGAGGGTTGTCGTGTTCAGCATTTATAGGGATTTGTAAGAATATTTTGCCCAATTTTCATATGGGCATGTGTTAAATTCCCAGTGTGGTAGCTTGTTGTGTAAAGCAAATTCTACATGCTATTTTTAGGAAAATTGAGAATTCGATATTTTCAATATTCATTCTGGTTTCTTTTGAGTTTCGGAGGGTTTAATGATTTCAGCGAAATATAATCCTAGTATAGAATTTCCCTAAAAAGTACATTTTTCTTGGTTGGGGAGTTGCCATCTAGGTATCTGTGGAAGTTTAATTACTTTTAGTGGAAATGATGAGTAATAGTAGGAATCATGTGAATAATAATCATGAAGCTGGAGAGAAGAAACCATCTACCAATTCTAGAGGCGGCGGTGGAGGAGGAGCCACCACTTTTTCAGGGAAATCAATGTCAACCAGCGGCAGCGTGGGGTCCCCCTCGAGCCGGAGTGAGGCTGCAATGGCAACTCCAGCAAGCGATAACACATTCCTTGGGTTAAACAATCTTGATATCCAAGGTGATGATGACAGATCTCAGGGGGCTATGAGGTGAGCCTTTAAGTTCTTTATTCTGTTCGTAGTGTCCATCAGAATTTTGTCATCGATGTATTTCCTCTGTGCAGCTTATATAATTAGTTGAAAACTCACTTCTATTGTGTTGGATGTTTTGTCATAAATCTCTTTAGTTGATTATGAATAATTGTTGTAGCATTGTTGTGAATATGTTAGGATAGGACTTCTAGTAGATGTGTTGATGGACAGAAAGGAATAGCATAAACAGATTTATATAGGTGACGCCAAATTTATTGAGAATAAGGCTTAGTTTATTCCTGTTAATAATGTTAGGGAAGGAGGAACACAAATAATAACATGCAGTGAATATGAATAAGAATGAAGTGTTTAAAAAAGAGTACATATTGTGGATTAACAAGAAATATTTTCTTAAATAGAGTTGAATGGGATTCATGTAGTGATCCTTTATAGTATAAGACACTGATACTTTGTTCAATCAAGAAATCTGTTTCAGAGATAATGTGGTTAAAAGATTGGTGCAACTCCATGAAGTTAATGTCGAGGATGATAATTTATAAATTCTAACTATAATATGTAAATAGTGAATTGAGGCAATCATAGAACACGGTTAAGTAGGACACTTTTGCTATTCATGTGGAAACAGTGAGGAGTAGAGTGGATGTGTTTTGCCGTGTTGAACGGAGCGTTAAAAGGATGATGCTAATGTAGCTTCCATGCATGACTCTCAAATCGGTGTGTTGTCTTGTAATATTCATAACATTTCAACTTTTCTTTTCTTTTCTTGCCAACTGTGATTGATTATTGGTTTCTAATCAGCAACAGGAAGAAGAAAAGAGGTCAACGTGCAGCTGGAGGGGATAAGAGCGGTAGAGGGCTTCGTCAATTTAGCATGAAAGGTATTTTATTTCTCATCTGTCTCATCTGTCCTCTATATATATATATATGGTGAAGTGGACGTATTATGAGGATGGTTTGGAGATTCTTAATAATAAAGAATAAATGCCATTAGGAAGGTAAGCTTAAACAGAATCAGTCGGCAATTACAATTTCATATCTGTCAGTCATTGGTTTGCTACTAAAATTGGAGATCTAAATCACTAATTATTAATGATCAAGTTCTCAAGAACTAGATTGGAAATCAAGGGGGATTAGAAAATCCAGGCAAACTTTGGATCTGACGAGACACATTGGTCTTAATAGAAGGGTCCATTTAGCATGGAAAATGACAGATAAATGTTTTCTGTTGTGGTTATGTATGTGAGTTGTGAATACTGCACAAAATCATCACCACTTCTTGGTTTCAAACTGGTGTTTCTTGAGCTCCAGGGAATGTTACATGAACTTTCTGAAAACTGAGGGTGTTACTGCATTTTGGATGGCCTTTGGAATGCTCGCATAATTAACTTTTTTTTTTTTTTTTTACTTGTATACACTTTTATTAGGAATTGCACATAATTAACCTCTCCTACTCTTTTATGGATAGTTTGCGAGAAAGTGGAAAACAAAGGAAGAACTACTTACAATGAGGTCAGATGACTCACCAAAAGTATTTCTTTGAAATTATTCTTTCTGCTTTTCTGCAATATGGTAGGGTGATCGTGTAATTCCTATCATTTGATTCTTCTTTTGCTCATTTTATCCCATCCTTGATTTATAAATCCAGTAATCATTTTCTGTTGATGTCCAATGGTTTTGATGTTTGATTGAAAGAGCCACTGTGGGATAGTTTTTGATCAAAAGAGTTGTGGTCATTGATCAAAATGTGCAACTTGGTCTCTTCTACTGTCATTTTTCGTCTAATGAGAGACATTGCTTCATACTGTAGAATGTGCAACTTGGTTTCTTTTGATGAGAATTCATATCAACTGCCATGGAACAGGGGAGTTATTTTATTGGTGATTTAGAAATTATATGGGTGTATGGGAATTCCCTCACGTGTCAAATGACGGTACTGTTCTATGCACCCATAAGTGTATATTGTGCAGCTTAACAGCTTGATTGAGGAGAGAAAACTTGGGTCCCGTGGAATGACCTTAATATTTTTCCATAAATGTTAAGTTGTTAAACTGCTTGTTATCGTGTGATAACTAGATTTGACAAAAATAAAGTCTGACCAGGTTGCAGATGAACTTGTTGCTGAATTTGCAGATCCTAACATTGGTGTTGGATCTTCAGACCAGGTTTGTTGAGTTTATAATTGTCTCCTCCTGTGTTTGTGGTAATTAAAAAGTCAAAGTTTTAGGCTTTTGATTTGTCTTCTGTACATGTGACAGCAACAATATGATGAGAAAAACATTCGGCGAAGGGTGTATGATGCTCTAAACGTACTAATGGCAATGGATATAATCTCCAAAGATAAAAAGGATATACAGTGGAAGGGACTACCTCGCAGTAGCTTGAATGACATTGAAGAGCTCAAGGTTCCATTTTAATTTCCTTCCTTTCACTTCTACTGTCTCTTTTTGTTTACTTTTCCCATATATTTTTATGTCACAGGAAAAGGACATCTCTGCGTGCCATTTAATTTCTATTATATCAGCGAATATAGCTTATGTATATGCTTGTTATTGCAGACAGAATGCCTTGGACTTAGTAATCGGATTGAAAAGAAATCAGCTTATTTGGAAGAGCTCGAGGAACAAGTAAGAACATAGATAATGCCTGTCTGTTTGAATCTGAAGATATGGTAATTGTTGTTGGCATGTCTAACGAATTTTCCTTTTTGCACTTTGGTTGGCCAAAGTACGTAGGTCTTCAAAACCTCGTGCAACACAATGATCTATTATATGGCTCAGGAAATGCTCCTACTGGTAGTGTGGCCTTACCTTTTATATTGGTGCAGGTAAAGTTGTTTGATAATATCTTAGCATTAATTTTTGGATGATGGATTTTTATTGTGTCCATCATCCAAAAATTAATGCTCATCATCACACGCAGCATTTTTTCCTTTTCTGCAGTCCCTTTTGCTTTTTACTAGAGAAGATGGGAACAATTGTCTAGACTTTATGTATTTCCTGGTGATGATATCAGATTCAGTCTCTATAATTGAAAAGATGGCTACTTGCTTGGGCTTTTTACATAACCTTAATACTCGCTAGTGAAGTTCCTACAATTATTTTGGGTGTTGAAAGTTCATGGATATATGAAATCCCAGCATAAGTCGTAATGCTTTTATTTCAATCATTTTTTGAAAGTTCCTGGAGATGTAAAATATCAGCGTAATCTCTGGATATTGGCATGGTGTCATCGACTTAGGATATACTTGAGTCTCTATGAGGAAATTCAACCAAGCCACTGCAGTATGCAAATGAAAACAGAAAATTGTTTACTACGTTAAAATTTTTTGATGATTTTTCTAGTAATAATTTGTTTAAAAGATCTTGCGTGCCTCTGTAATGGTTAAACAAGTTGCATTTGGCTGTTGAAATTGTGATTTCAATTAATATTTCATTATCATCCTAGTAACTGATTCTTGGTTTTGAAATATTTTATGATGGATAGTGTTTGACAGAGATTTTTGTAGAATTAGTTATCACGCTTCTTATTGATTTTTCTATCGGAACTGTAGACTCTTCCTCATGCAACAGTAGAGGTGGAAATATCAGAAGATATGCAGCTGGTTCATTTTGATTTCAATAGGTGAGGGAACCGTTTTGGTATTGTACTCATTTTAAGAGAGAAATATTAGAGGGAAACTTTCTAGTGCCTATTGCCTGATTTCATATTTGCCTTAGCTTAAAATTTACTTATTTGTTTTAAAACAATTAACTTTTTTATTGGCGAATTTGGAAATAAGCAAGTTAATTATTTTGAAATTAAGGTCAATAAAAAATTAAGAAAAAAGAGTTTCTTTTTAAACTTACATGTAACTTAGTTTTAAGCTTAATCAAACATGGGTACATGATCTTTTTTAAGTGTTTTTCTGTGCAATATCTAGCATGGTGGTATTTTTTTGGCAAAGATTTGAGTAATGTAGTTGGAACACAGTCATTTTTCCAGTTTATGCCCTTATCAAGATAATACTCTTTATTGCAATTAGACTCAATGTCCTTGACATGTTTTTAGTAAGTACACTCCGCCTTCTCTCGTGACTGATTTATTTGTTCGAATAATTGCAGCACCCCTTTTGAGATACACGATGACAATTACGTTCTCAAGGCTATGAAATTTTGTGAAAAACAAAGAGGTGACGGTACAGATCGTATCCCTGCAAATGGAGGTGAAAGCTCAA